TACATAGATAGTGTATAGACAATCATGGTCACATTTGCAGATAGAGACAGCTTTATGCCTTTTAAAATTATGTCTTTTTTTTTTCTTTGCCTTTTTGCTCTGGCTAGATCTTACAGTATTAAGTTGAATAAGAGTGGTGAATGAGAGTTGGCATCCTTTGTTCCAATATCAAGTAGATGGCATTTAATCTTTTACAATTAAGTATAATGTTAGCTGTAGGTTTTTTATGTCAGAGGTCTTTTTTAAGTTGAGAAACTTCCCCTCTATTTCTAGTTTGCTAAATATTTTGTCATGAATGGGTGTTAAATTTTGTTAAATGCTTTTATTATGTCATTTGAGAAGATCCAGATGAGTTTTCTTTGGCCTGTTGATACTGTGGATTACATGGATTGATTTTCAGATATTGAATCTAGCTTGCATACCTTCTTGATCACATGACCACAGTGTTTAATTCTTTTCATATGTTGCTTCATTCAATTTGCTAATATTTTATTGAGGGTTTTTGCATCTTAAGTTTATGGGAGATAATCTGCAATTTTTTTTTTGTTTATACTGGCTTTGTCTAGTTTAGATATCAGGTTAATTCTAGTCTTATAAAATGAGTTGAGAAATATTCTCTCTTTTTTCTTGAAAAAACATCGATGTTTCCCTCTCTCTCTCTTCCTCTCTCTCCCTCCCACTCTGTCTGTACAAAAAAAAAAAGGAAAAATGTCCTCGGTTGAGGATTAAAAAAAAAAACAAAGAAAAAAAAAAACACATAACAATCAAAGAAAGCAAAACATAAAACAGGACAACTGAAAAAAATCATTAAACTCTTAGAAATTAAATAACATATTTCTAAATAACCCATGGGTGAACAAGAAAGTCTCAAAGGAAACAGAGAAATGTACAGATAAATGCAAAGAAAACATAATATGTCAAATTTTGCAGGATTCAGCAAAAGCAATGCTGAGAAGGAAATTTGTAGTACCAAACACTTACATTAGGAAAGAAGATCTCAAATTAAAAATCTAAGTTCTTAGTTCAGTAACTTAGAAAAGGAAGAACAAAATAAACCTAAAGCAAGCAGTAGGAAGAAAACAATAAAAATAAGATCAGAAGCCAATGAAATAAAAAACAGGAAAATAACAGAATAATCAGTGAAACAAAGAGCTGGTATTTTGAAAGAAAAATTGACAAACCTTTGTAAGAGTGACAATGATAAAGTGAGAAGGCACAAACCACCAATATCAGTAATAAAATAGAGGATACCACCACAGATCTTGCAACCATTACAAGGAGGGAAAAAAAGATTATGAACAATATTACAAAACTGTTCATAAAGCTCATGAATTTAACAATTTAGGAGAAATAGAACAATTCCTTGAAAACTGCAAATCACTAAAACTCAACTGATAACCTGAATGGTTCTATAATCATTAAATAAACTTGTAATTAAAAAGTTCCTGAAAAAGCAAATCACTAAAACCCAACTGCTAACCTGAATAGTTCTATAATCAAATAAACTGAATTTATAATTAATTTTATCAAATATTTAGCTGATGAATTTAGACCATTTATATTTAAAGTAATTATTGTTATTGTTGGGATTTAAGGGACCACCTTACTTTTGAATCATGGGATTCTTCTTATATCCTTCACCATTCAGTAATAACCACAAACACAAGTCAAATTAATTTCTTCCTGTTTGAGAGAGGATTTTCCAAAAGTGAGTATTCCAAGAAGCCCAAGAAGCTGCAAGATATATTAAGATCTAGCCTCTGGTCTTCAGTCCCAGATTCCCACCTCCACTACATTCCATTAATCACACAGGCCAACCCAAATTCATTGTGGGAAGTGACTGCACAGGGGAATTCCAGGAGGTGAGGATCACCGGGAGCCATAGTGAAGACTGGCTACTACTACTACCACTAATTCACATGCTAATGTTGAAATCAGAGTCATGGGCTGTAACTCAGACCCTATCAACTAGCTAATCACTCTAGGACTTGACTTTCTCATCTGTAAATTGAGACTGAACTAGATGACTACTTATGTCCCTTCTGACTCTGATTCTCCATCTGTTTCTCAGTCACAGTATCTTTATATATTTTTTCCTCCACTTTATTGAGGTATAATAAATAGACTGTTTAAAATTGTATATATTTAAGATGTGCAACCTGATGATTTGATATACATGTACATTGTGAAATATTCACCACGTTCAAGCTACTTAACAAATCTATCACCTTACATAGTTTCCATTTTTTGTTCTTTCTTTTGTTGTCAAATGGATTTCTTGATGTGTATTAGCACATTACCATTTTACCACCATATAAAAGGAAATATTTAACCATTGTTCAGTATCTCTGGACTTCTTACAACTCAGTTTGGCAAACTAATGCAGTTAGTTATCATTGGTTCCAGAAGCAGCTAGTATCCAATATTGGAGTGTTTATAGATTATCATAGGTATAGCCAGCCCTGGGTGAATGATCTGGATCATTAAAGAAGCTACAAACCTTATCCCAATCAAGTAATAGTAAAAGAACTTAACATTAGCCAGATTGTTTCACAGAACTCTTCTTTTGGGGGACGTGGGATGAAGATCTGACAATTAGGGCTTCCCCCCCAATTTATATGTTTGATTTTAAAGGAAATTGATCATATTTTATTTCATTTGTATATTCATTGTTATAATCTAAGCCTTGCTAAGCCTCCCCTAACTTTCATTTTACCTGAATGACTTCCTCAAAAAATCATAATTTGTTTTTAAAACAAGACATTAGTAGGACTGCATCCTGTTGTGTTCCCCTAAGATTCCCTGTACCTCCCAATCTATGTCAAGATCCTAACTTAACTTCAGTCTTGTCATAGTCAGTATTAGAATAAACTGACAGTTTATTCATATATTTTAAACAGAGGCACTGTTCATTTGAGTGACTACCTCCCAAAGGGAACACTTTGAAAGGTAATACTCATTTAGTGTAGTGAAAGTATTTTGAAAGTGTCTTTACTATATAATCACACCCTATATACTGTCTTTTAAAATTATTCCTGACAATTGTAATTCACTGTTACAAGGTAAAGCATATGATTTATGGCCTTGGTAGAAATGTGGTTTATGGGTTCCAAATCATTGTCATCACTATACTGGAAGCCTTTGGCTCCCTGTGGCATGGTCTAATAGAGGCAGTGTCAAATGTTTATTTTTATGTTTATGCTCCTATACTGGATTGGAAGATGGAGACCTTTTTTTCTTTCTTTTTTTATCTTTGTATCTGCTCTACCTGGCGTCCTGCAGCTATATAGTAAGCTTCTTGAATGAATTGAAGCTGGTGTACAGGAGAGACTGAACTTTGGCCCCGTGTAGGTCAGAGTCCCATTTTAATAAACTAACTGATGATTCTTATTCTGTAATAATGGATAAAATAATAATGAATAGAAGTCATTTTAGACAGCATTGTTTAAAGTTTATTTCAGTGACAACTTACTAAAACTTTTAAAAAAGTTTATAAGTACTGTATACATTTTGGCTTATCATGTGTTTCACCCAAATTTTTCATTTTGTTTAATTTCTATAAGCTATTCTCAAGGGAAGTCCATAGAGGAGGAAATATGAATTGCTTACCCAGTGAAATGTGCCTGCCACAGATTTTTCACATGTATTCAAGCTAACCAGATAACAAAATAATTTAGTGCAGCAATTAAATATCTAGGCATAGTGTGCTTAGCTGTGAGATAAAGTCATGATTCTACATTTGAAATTTTCAACCTGTACCTTATTAGTAAAAGAATTACAAGTTCAGCAATAGATTTTCACTGAGAAAATGTGGATAGAGGGCATCCTTGTATATTATAATTCTGATATTTTTTATAGTGTGATCTATGACAACTGTTGGGGGGAAAAAGAAGGTACTGAGGCTTATTAAATACAATATAAATACAGTATAATTACCATTAAATTTTGTCATTTTATTTTATTTTATTTTATATGAGCTAGATAACAAATCTTCTTAGTAAAAGTTCAGATTTTGTACCCCTGTAACCAAAGGTATTTTACCAAACATGAGTTTTTGGAAATACATATTTAAATGACCTCCTGTCTTTTTCTGAGAATAGTTTAAGGAAATAAAGCTTCCTCCTTACCTTAGGTAAAAGACTTATTTGAGGTCCAATATCTGAAACTAACTTATTTACCCTCTTATTGACTGGGTTTCCCAGTCATTGATTGGATTTTTTTTATGATTTTATATGTTACAGTCCAGCTTTGAATGATTTTAAGCCCAGAAATATCTGCTGAAATAAATATTCCTGTGTTTAATTCTGTAGTGTCTGTCTTCAGGAGAAATAGGCAGAAGTTCTGATTCAGAGGGGTGCCAAGTTGGTAATTTGGCTCAAACTACATGGGGAGAATAATCTCCCTCCTAAAATGAAGCACAAGGATAAGTAATAACTTTTTATGCATGATAAGCATCAAAAATATGAACCTGCTGGTCTTTGCTTTTCATTTATCTTTACCTCTGTCTTTCAGTGAGAACCTCCTGCAGTGTGCACACGATGTGATCAATAACTCAATAACTTTTTTCATGCAGTAATTATCTCCATGTGATATTATCTGAACACTGTTTTTCTTTATTACTCAAAAGATGCAGGAGATATTTATATAACCAGCTGATCCCATTTTGGATAAAGGTGCTTTGTGACAGCAGGAGAAATAGTTTATTTTAAATAGCCTTTTAAAATAAATGCTCTATGAAAAGCATTTCCAGTTAATTTTCACTTAGCACAAAAAGGTGATTACCAAAAAGGTTTAGATCTAAAACTTGTACTTTGTATATTTTACAGTGTGATAGTCATTCTAACGTCTAATAAACACAATTTAAATGAAAATATTGAAGTGTTTTACATATCCGTAATTTTTTTCTGATTTCTCTAAATCACTTTAGATATTTACAGAGTTGTAAGCTAAACACATAACTTCTACCATTTCTGCATGTCTCACAGAGATTCTTGTTATAGGCAGAGATCCTGCAAGAATCCCGGATGATGATCCCAGATTGCCAGCGCAGGTTGGAAGCTGCATATACCGATCTTCTGCAGATATTAGTGAGTAAAGACTTCTCTGTCTTATGTTTAAAATTTTTTTCAATCTAATATATAAAAGGCCAAAATTTTAAATATTTTATACTGAAAACTAGTTGGTGACATACTTTGTTCACTTACCCTGTGTACACTATTTTTAAAAATAGTGAAGGGAGTTTAAATTGTGTTTAAGGTATGCCTCCAGTAAAAGTACTGTGCCTAGTATGTTTATTCTATTTATTTAAACTTAATTAAATATATTTGAATTAACATGGTAGGTATTCATATTACTAATATTGTTCCCCAGTATCTTGAATTATTTTATTTTCATACATAAAGATATTTTTCATACATTATTGGAAATTTTAGAAGATTCAGATGTTTCAAATGAATTTGGACCATAATAAAAAAGATCTGGAATTCTTTCAGATTCTAACGTAAATTAATTTGAGAGAAAAACAAACCCTGTAATCAGGCAGTCCTCTCATACTAACTTGGAGCTGGATAACACTGTTATTATACTTGCTTTATAAATGCCTTGTGATACAGTGTAGAGTCATTTTATAAAAAATTCTAAGAATAATTAAAAGTGGTTTTATTTATTTCCTAATAGAGATAGAAGTAAAAAACTATATACAAGCCAGTTGTTACTGTTGTTTGAAGATAATTTGATGAATTCTGACATTTACTAATCTCCTTTTATATTGATATATCTTGAGCTAATATTAATCACTATCTACACAGCTGTTTCCTGATTCATAGTTGTTTCCTATATAATAAAAATAATTTGAGACTTTTTCAGGATGATTTTATGTATTCTTTGAAAGAGAATGAATGATATTTGTTCTCCTACCAAAATAGTATTAGAACTAAATCTGGGGGTGGGGGGGTGGGGGTGGGGAGGAAGTGTTCACATTTTACTTTAATATTGAAACAGAACTCTATATTTACGGAACCTTTTAAAGGCAGGATAACTTTCCTTAACAGCCAAAAATGAAGCTATGATTTTGAAATAAAACATCGATGAAAGCAGGAAATAATTACTCAATTAAAATACTCTCTGAGACAGAAACATCGTCTCTATTTCTGACAATTTAAATGATTTTTCTCTCTCATGAATCTAGTAGCTAAGAAAATAATAGAAATTGCTTAAAAAAATAGTATTGTCTTTGGATGATGAATTTGAAGATGTATTCAACAATATCTCTACCCTCAAAGAGCTTATATTTACTGACAGAGAACAAAGACATGTTTAGGTGTAATACAGAGTTTTAAGAAATTCTTACCTATAGTCTGAATTGAGAAAATTCTTATTCCTTTTGCTTTGAGTTTTATATTAAGTAAACACACACACTTTATTCCCTCTGCTCTGTAACTGCTTGTATATCTTCCTCTTTTATTGACCTGACAAGAATTACTGACCATGGCTTTATTTATTTATTAAAAACCAAGCAAAATTTCCTGTGCATAATAACTTACGTGATATTATTTCTCTTATCTGTTACCACTACAATATATTAGTAAAAGTTTCCTGTATAAAGTATTGAGGAAAAATTCAGTTTTTAAATATCAGAAAAGATGTTAGTATTTTGTTTCCTTGTAGTAGGGTGTATTATGCTCATTAATAAGCAGGCAGTTCAGTTTTCTATTCAAAGATTGTACTTAACTGTGGTGAGACACAGTAGTCTTCTTTGTCATTGTGAGTATTTGAAGGATTTTTTTGGCTTAAATTTTATCATATATGTAACACATTAATAAGGCATCATTATGCCTTTTGTATTGTGATGTGTTGACAAAATAAGAATAAATGTAAGATTTTTTTTAAAATTACTTAATGTTAACAGCTTTACATGATCATGCTTTTCACTTATGACATGAGACTACACAGTGAGTCCAAACCAAATCTATTTCTTCTCTTACCTGTAAGATGAGGCTTGGGATCCTTTTTCTTTTAATTTTTGAACATTTTGCATTGTTGGTTTGTTATATTTGCGTAAAAATATAAAGTACTAAAGTTTGAGACGGATAAACTTCCTTTTATTATATTTCATTTCAGGAGAGTGAAAAGGAGTTGGAAGAAGCTGAGGAATATAAAGAAGCACGTTTAGTACTGGATTCGGTGAAGTTAGAAGTCTGAAGTTTTTCTGTATAGGGTGCTTTTTACAATTAATCCTGGGATTCATTCCACAATTTATTATTTTTGACCACTGCTGTGTGTTCAAGTAGTATGAGAATGTTTCTTTTTATGCAGTTGCATATATTTTTCTTTGCCTAATTTAATGTGTCAAATAAATGAATTCGTCTAATAAAAGTGTTTATTTTATACTCTTTTACAAAATATTTTAATTAACATTTTACTATTAAATCATAGACATTTTGACAGAATTAAAATTTGTTGGATTCTATTTGAAGTCTAAATATTTTGCTTCATTAGTGTGGTTTGAGTTAAAAACAGGATAGATACCATTTTTTTTTTAGATAAAAATCCAATTTTTCTGTGTGTGGAATTTATTACTTTTATTCACTGTTGTACCGAAAACAATTCTTGGCACAGGAAGAATAAATAGAAATAACACATATTTGAAAAAGAAAGAATACATATTTGGTGAATAAATGATGAATTAACATTAGTATTGAGTCCTAATTTTCTTCAACATAAAAATCCAAATTATGAGCAGTTTATTCTGAATAGGGTACAATTCCCTGATAAGAAGAGAAGAACCTCTCTGTGGTTAAGGCCTCACATATTCATGCCTTCACGAGGAAAATCTAACATTTTCATTACTATAAACTAATTGGAAACATTTAATTTTTTTCCAGAAAGACAGATTTATACAGAAACCAACCATTCAGAACTTCAAATAAGATTCTTAGGAACAAAAAAGAACTGATTTATATTTTAAAGGAATAATGTCCATTGCCCATTGGTGTGCTGGCAAATGTTTAATGGCTCTTCAAGGTGGGAAAGGAACCTCTCAGTTGTAGCTTTTGCTGGTTTTTCTAATATAAATTCTATCACTGGGACCAGTTTCAACCTACTAATATGACATCACTGGACACAGAGTTGGGAAGATAGGAGCCAGCTCCAAAATATACTAGCCATAGCCAAACCTGGGTAATCTTTGTTAACTGGAAAAGGGCATTGCTGTATCACAAGATATTTGTTCAATACAATTATAAACCCTTTGCCTAACCATTGGAGTTTTTTTTTTTTAATTTAATAATTTATTTTTGTTACAGATGTTTCTCCTTTTCCCCCCACTCACTTCCCCTCTCTCCCCCAACCATTGGAGTTTTTTTCCAAAAATATGTAGCAACTCATTTAGTTTTCTTCTATTTCTAGAAAATGTGTATGAGCCTTATATCACCAGCCTAACATGAGCAGTGATCTAATGAACCCAAATAGTAATTATAGCATTTAAACCTTAAAACTGGTAATTAAAAAAATAATAAACTTGAATTTTTGCAGCTATAAAGTACATACTTATAGTGTGGTTGATCTGATTTTGGAAGTTGCAAATGATCACTAGAAATCAAAACATTTACTGAATATGTCAAAAACATTAGAGAAGAGGAAAATAATATTTTTTCCTAATGTTATTTATAAAGGCTACTCTTGTTTTAAAGCACAGAATGTATCACTTATAAATCTTTATACATGTGGAAAATTACTTCATCAGAGAATAACATACATCAGAACCATTTCTAAATTGAAAAGTCATCATCTTAAAACATTCCATGCCATTTTTAAAGTGAGTAGAGGAGTGAAGAAATAAAAACTATAATACAATGTGAAATTTTATACTAAGGTTCGATATTAGAGATTTGAGTACAAAGAGAATTGAAAATATTTGTAGATGGAATTATTAAGCACCGGAACAGGTTGGCTTTTTTTTTGTATACATAGTTTTCTAAATTAGGATATCATTTAAAGAAAGAATTACAGTATTTTTTTATTTTTTTTTTATCCTCACCTGAGGACATTTTTCCATTTTTTGTACAGATAGAGTGGGAGGGAGAGAGAGGAAGAGAGAGAGAGGGAAACATCGATGTGAAAGGGACACATCGAGTGGCTGCCACCCGCACGACCAACCAGGGCTGGGGACAAACTGCAACCGAGGTACATGCCCTTAGCGGGAACTGAACCCGGGTCTCTCCGGACTGCAGGTGGACGCTCCAACCACTGAGCCAAACCGGCCAGGGCTACAGTATTTTTTTAAAGTAAAACATCTCATTTCAATCTTTTTCCAAATACATAAATATTGTATGTATTCATAACAAAAGGTTTCCTGACCAATTAAAGCTTGAAGAGAATATATATATATCTCCCTATAAATAAGAGAAGAGTAATACTGAAGGGAGGTTTGTAGCCAGGACCTGAATCTTGTATACTGGAAAAAATTATTGAAAAAATATTTTCAATTCTCTTTGTATTCAAACCTCTAATATTGAACCTTAGTATAAAATTTCACATTGTAATTATAGTTTTTATTTCTTGCTAAAAAGTAAGGTAGATAAAAAGAAATATATCTTTATACAATTCCTGTCCCAACTATAGATTTTATACTGGATCTCTCTTCAGGTACTGATGAAAAGCAGCAAGAAGCTTAACATTCTCTGAAGGCTTATTCCAGGGAATTTTTGACACATTCCACTTAGTTTTCATGGCCAAGAGGCACATTAAGTTAAGAACAGTTGTAAGTAATTCAGCATTAACTTTTTTTTAAGCTTTTATTTAAAACCTTACATCTGTATAACAATAGGTAGAAATTTCCAAAAGTAATGTTGCCTTTTTCTTCCCACTGCTAACACCTGACTCCCCAACCAACATATAGCAGTTGCTCAATAAAAATTTGTAGAATAAATAAAAAGCAAGAACATTTCCAATTTCTGAAGTGAGAGAAAGAATTCTATGAAGGAAGGATTCCATTATATCACAAACACAATATAGAGTTTGTCACACTGTATAGACCACAAACCACACTAAGAAACATTTTCCACTGTGACACAGTACATACATATGGGGGCCTATATATACATAAAGCAGTAAGTATCCTTAATATGTACAATTCCTCAGATGTTTTTTATTTTTTAATGGATCTTTTTTCATTTATCTTTAGATAGAGTGGGGAGAGGGGGAACATTGATATGAGAGACACACATCAACTGGTTGCTTCCTGCAAGATCCCAACCAGGGCCGGGGACTGAACCGCAACTGAGGTACAAGCCTTTGACTGGAATCAAACCCGTGACTCTTTGGTCCCTGGGCCAAACTGGCCAGGGCCTGTTTATTTTTTTTAAATAGTGATCATGACCTGTTACTGAGTTGTGACAAACACTACCCTCATATAATAATATAAAATGATTATCTTTATAAAAATTATCTCTATCCATCTTTCTGTAAAACTTAGGTCTCAGAGTAGTTGTGTAAGTGAATTTGTACAAAGTTATACATATTGTTGGTATAAAGCATCATGGTAAAGTATAATCACTTTTGTTAGGTGTCCCTTAGACCTTGCACAAACACAATGGCTTTGATAGAGTAGATAGGCAAAACAAAGACATACAAGTGTTAGAATCAAGTAGTAAGCGTAACTTTTTTCTGTAGTTTTCTGTATAGCAAAGGGCACATCATTTCTAAGTAAGAAAGGTCATAGGATAAAGAAATACAAATAGTCCTGGCCGGTTTGGCTCAGTAGTTGGAGTGTTGGCCTGCGGACCAGAGTCCTGGGTATGGTTACCGCTAGGGGCACGTACCAAAAAAAAAAAAATCTTAACAGTGTGTGGAATGAGGAAAGTCCTCCAAATCTAGGCTGTTTTTAATGCTATTAAGAGCATTCCCAAGTTCTAGACTTTTACTTGGACATTCTTGGCTAATGGTTTTCAGTTCTAGTAAATCCAGGTACTGCCCCCAAAGGCCCGGACAGGAGCTTTCAGGCCAGGCTTTTGGGACATCTGCGTTCTGGAGCGATATTAACATCCTAAGAATTAGATTGCCCTTCCTTAGTCCTGTTTTGTACCAGGTGGATAAGTCATTTAACAGATCCTTGGGAAAGAATGGAATGAATAACGAAAGTGGTTAAAACAATATATTATAATATCATTTACTATTTCTCAACTTTCTGGTCAGGAACATTCAAAGCCTAATATTTAGAAATGGTCTCTATGCCTATACCTGTGTATTGAATCACTTCCAAATTGAGCAGTCAAACCTAGTTAATCTAAATTACTTTGCAAACTTCATTACATTACTTGGCTTTTAAAAAATCCTATCAAATTTAATAAGGATATATTCTACAGCTGGTTATCACTTAAATCTTATTTGGTCATTTAGACAAACCAGGGACAGATTAATCCTTCCTTTGATGGCAAGTCAGGGCCTTTAAATGTCAGTGTAAACTTGACATGCATGTGAGCAAGAGCTGTTAAGTATTTGTCATGAAAGGGTTAATCAGATAATTTAGTCCTTGATACTCTTTTGAGTGCTTGAGCTGGAAAGAAATTGAATGGTTTAGAAATGGTGCACTATGAAACAAGTTATAAGTATTAATGTACTTGAAATTTTCAAGAGTGCTTCATATAAATCTACATTGCACTCCACTGTTGGTCTTACTGCTCTTATAAAATGAGAGATATTTGTTCATGTATTGGCCTGTTGCACAGGAAGGTAAAATTAATTTGTTCCAGTTACATCTGCACTTTTGTGCTTTCTGTTGACTGCTGGGTAGTTGACAAGGTACATGTATGTCACAAGAGGTTAATATTTTTTATGCACAAAGAGCTCTTTCAAATTAATCAGAAAAAATCCCAGTATATTAAAAAATAAAATAAAATAGACAAAGCATAGAAACACACAGTTCACAAATGAAATGCAAATGGAGAGTTTTAAATTTTCACTTCACTAGTAAATTCAAATTATAAAAACGAAGCAAAATTATTTTTAATTTATTGATTCGAGAGAGAAAAACATCTACTTGTTCCATCCATTTATGCATTCATAAATGGCTGAATCTTGTATGTACCCTGACCAGGTATCAAACCCGCAACCTTGGCCTACTGGAACGACTCTTTAACCAACTGAGCTACCAGGCCAGAGCATGAAGCCAAACTTTTAGAGATGAATACTTCTGGCTATGTGATAAAATACTAGCCAATGAGATAAAAGGATAAAATGAAAATACTGGAAAAGAGGAATCATTTTCATATGTAGTTGGAAAGATGTGTATCAGGAAAACATGTCAGAATTAGAAATTAATGAGGAAATTTGAGTGGGTAGTTGCAAGATGAATATATAAAATTATTAGGATTGAATTATGTCCCCCCAAAAGTTATGTTGAAATTCTCACCCCCAATATCTCAGAATATGACCTTATTTGGAAGTAGGGTTCTTGCAGATATTGGTTAAGATAAAGTGCTACTAGAGTAGGGTAGGCCCCTAATCTAATATAACTGACACCCTAATAAGACAATGTGAAGACAGGGAGAAGGCCACATGACAGGCAAGATTGGCATCATGCCACTAACTGCAAGGCAAGGGATACCAAGGTGACACCAGAGGGTAAGAGAAAGGCACGGAACAGATTCTCCCTTAGCTCTCAGGAAGTATAGTTCTGCCGAAACCTTGATTTTGGACTTAGCCTCCAGGACTGTGAGAAAAGACATTTCTGTTTTCTTTTCTTTTTTTAATGCATTACTTTGTTAAAGCAGTCATAGAAATACATAGAATCCAAGAGCTTTTCTGCATGCCAGCAATAACCAAATATAATGGAAAAATAAACCCACTACTGTGAGAGAAGGCATTTTTAAAAATGACCTGTACTACCTGGCTGTTTGGGCTCAGTGGTTAGAGTGTACACCTGCAGATCGAAGGGTCGAGGGTTCATTCCCAGTCAAGGACATGTCTCTGGGTTGCAGGTTCAATCCCCGGCCTAGTCTGGGTCATGTGGGAGGCAACCAATCAAGGTCTCTCACATCGATGTTTCTCTCTCTCCCTCTCTCCCTCTCTTCCACTCTATCTAAAATCAATGGAGGAATAGAATACAACAGGGTTTGGAAAGCGGGGAGAAGATGGAGGGGAATTTTAGAAAATTATTCTCAAATCCAATTTAAAAAATTTTAACAGGTAAGAATGGCTGGAAAGAAAATATGAAAAATAATAGTGATGAGGGATAATTAGCTTCACTCACTATTAAAACTTTGACAAGTTTCAATAAGTAAACATGGTAAAAGAATAGAAGATCAAAGAGAATGGAATCCAGAAGCATATGTATGTGGAAATTTAGTACTATATGATAAAGGTTATTTTAAGCCCCTGGTAGATTAATTAATAAATTATATTGGGATAACTGGCTAAGCCTTTGGGTGGAAAATAAAACGAGATCTCTTTCACCTCTTGCACCAAAATAAATTTCAACTTAGTGAAAAATTTCAATATAAAGAGAAAAAAAATAAAAAGCTAGAAACTAATAAAGAATTGTAAATTTATATCAAGTGAGATGGAAACAGGAAATCTAAGACACTATTGGTGTGAATATTTTAAAGCTGGAAATTCTCCACAAAGTAATATATAAGTGTAATGCCACAATTATCAAAAGTATAGATAGAAGCCCTGGCCAGTTTAGCCTAGTGGTTAGAGCGTTGGCCCGCAGCCAGGAGAGTCCCGGGTTCAGTTCCTACTGAGGGCGTGTACCTTCGTTGCAGTTTGTCCCTGGCCCCAGCTGGGGTCATGTTGGTGGCAGCCAATTGATGTGTGTCTCTTGCATCGATGTTTCTCTCTCTCTCTTCCTTCCTCTCTCCCTTCCGCTATATCTGAAGGTAAATGCAAAAAAAAGAAAGTATAGGTAGAAAAATAAATGGTGAGACTATACAAGAAAATCTTGAAAATGGAGAATTAATAAGGAGAGGGGATACATGTAGGAGTAATGCAGTTGGATATTGAAACTTAAAACTACTAAATTTAAAACGTTGAAGCGAGTATTAAACTGTCAGTCAATAGAATAGAAAACCCAAACCAACTCTAAATTATGTCAATACATAAGTATCGAATAGAGGTGGCATCTCAAGTTAGTGGTAAAGGATGGATTATAAATTAATGGAATAAGGAAAGTCAGTTAACTATTGAGGAAAATTAAAACAGATTTCTATCTCATTCCATACAACAAAATAAAGTTTAAATAGGTTAAAGAATTAAATTTATGTAACAAATATTTCTTGAACCTCTATATTAGCCTGGCACTATTTTGGAGTGGGGATGCAGTGGTGAACAAGACAAAGATCTCTGCCCTGGGGAGCATACAATTCATAGAGATGGACAGTAAATAATAAAATAGCAATACGATGTTCTGTGAATAGAATTAATACAACATGTTTTGATAGAGAGCAGTGGTTCTTAACCTTCCTAATGCCGTGATCCTTCATGTTGTATGTGTGCGTATCTGCATGTGGGCGGACCCGCCTGGAGCCGGATTGAGGAGCGGTTCCTAAGACCATGGGAAACACGTGTTTTCTGATGGTCTTAGGCGACCCCTGTGAAAAGGTTGTGCGAACCCCAAAGGGATCGTGACCCACAGGTTGAGAACCGCTGATATAGAGCGATTAGGTTATCAGGGAAGGGCTTCCTAAAGAGATGGCATGTAAGCTGAGCTCTGAATCAGAAACTCCACAGAGACAAAGGCATTCCAAGCAAAGAGAACAACTAGTAAGAAGCCCAAGGTGAAGGTGCTAGGTGAATTCTAGGAACCCATGGGCAGGAGCCAAGTGAGGAATGGGGAAAGTAGTGGAAGAATTTATAGGGTTTTGTAAGCCTAGGAAAGAAATTAAGGTTTTATTATAATTAGAGTCCACAAAAATGTTAAGCCAGGGAATGACATGGTTTAATTATCATTGTTTTAAAATCCTGTTGCTCTGCCCTGACCGGTTTGGCTCAGCGGTTAGAGCATCGGCCGGCAGACCAGTCTCGAGTTTGATTCTGGTCAAGAGCTCGGTTGCAGTTCAGTTCGTCAGGTCCCAGCCCTGGTCAGGGTCATGCAGGAGGCAACCAATCCATGTGCCTCTTTCACCTCTCTCTCTCTCTCTCTCTCTCTCCCCCGCCCCCTCCCTCTCTCTCTCTGTCTCTCTCTCTCTCACCTCCTCCCTCCCTCCATCCTCCTTCCACCCTATCTGGAGATAAATGGGAAAATATCCTCGGGTGAGGATTAAATAATAATAATAATAACAACAAAACTGTTGCTCTGTAGGGAGCAAAAGTAAAAGCTGAGATAGGCTACTGTAATAGTACAGAGTTCAATGTAAAAAACAAAATCATAAAAAGCTAAGGATATTTTAGTTACTATTTAATCTGTGAGTGGAAAATGAATGCCTAAGCCTAAAAGAAGATTAATAGATTTTGCTAAATAAAGCATAAATGTCTGTTTTTCAAAATAAAACTAAATTACATGATAAACATCAAACTGGGATAGGAAATTAATGATTTTAATAGGAGTTTAATGTTTTTAATATATATTAAAAAAAGAGACAGGGAGACGTCCAGTTTCCACTTCCATATGTAAGAGTCTGAGAGTCACCACTTCATTCTAAAAAAGAACCTGTCTGAGTCCTAGCAAAAACAGTGAGCTTTGTGGTATTTTAACTTACCCTGGCTCCATCCTCTACTCCCCAGCTCTGTGGTCGCCTTGAAAACAACAGCCCGTGTTCCTCCTACTGGTACCAGCACCAGAGGGAGCAGGCTGAACTCAGCACACATCTTAATGATTTGTTTTGAACTCTGGTGGCTCCTTGGAAGACTGGCCCTTGTGTTCATTGCTTTCATCTCAGAACTCCCAGTGCTGAAGTGGCTGTGGGCATTCGTGATGGCAGAGGTATGAGGGAACTTTGGGGGGCGATGTATAAGTTCATCTATCTTGACTGTGGTCATAGTTTCACAGGTTTATGCACAAGACAAAACAAACAAATTTTACAGTTTAAATCTATGCTGTTTGTTGTATGTCAGTTATACAGCAATAAAGCTGGGTTTGGGGAATCTTTTTATCTTTAAAAAGAATATTGGGCAGCTCACTAAGTTATTGGGGGACTGGGAGACCAGACTCAGGGCCGCGCAGCCACGAGCACGTCACTGTGCCTCCCACACTCAGATCCAAGTACCCAGTGCACTAAGAGGCCAAACATTGAGACACCAGTGCTTGGAGACAAAGGCTTATTCGATTTGTCTCTCCCAGAAAGCAAAGTAGGGAGCTTCTGTGCAGCTAGGGAGTAAGGGAGGAGGTCTCAGGAAAATGAGAGAAGTCAGTGTGTCTTTAGTCGCAGAAAACACTTTTTGCATCAGACTCCTGGACATCAGCAGCTGATCACAGGTATGTTCTTTCCTTCTGCAAAACAAACTCATAAATTCTCCTCCAGCCCTTGAAGTGATCTCTTCTTGCTTGACAAAGTCAAATCAGTGACTTGACTATATTCATGAGAACAAAAGGAGCTGAACAGGAATAATGGTTAACATGTAAACAAAGGCCTAAGTAAGAATTAAATTGTTTAATTTTAGCTGCGAAAAATGGTAGAGGCATTAAATCACAGGAGCTCAGCTCAGCCACAAACAGTCCCTAAATTATGGATCCTATAAGGACACTAGAATCATTTGTTCTGTCTGCATAGCTGTCCCTGGACACTGGACACAGCCAGCTGCCTCCTTGCCATGGCTGTCCTAGGAGCTCAGCCTTGCTACCACCACCAACATGGCCACCAGAAAAGCATCCTGCATCCTTCTCCTCCTACAACACCAGCTCCCATTTCAAGGTCTAGGGTGAGTGTTTTTGATTGGTAGAGCCATGAGCTCATGTCCTCTCCTTTGGCAAGTGAGGCAGGGAAAGCAAGCATTTGACATTTTTTAGCTTCTATCATGCAATGTTCTGCCTCCGTATCACTTGTGGGTACATGGGGGATGGTATTTATATGCAGTAAAACAACTAAAAGGTATGGATGGTAAGAATTTTAAGACAGAAATGGGACATTTTAGGAATGAGGTAGAGGGTGATCCTTGAAGGATGGTGGGAGGTAAGTAAGGAAAGGGAGCGGTTCTGACAGTGCTCAGCATCTAAGAAGGGGGTCAAGAGAAGTAGCAAAGTCACTGGTCTGCGTGGAGTGGAGGGCTGGCTGGACTGAGGAGTCCTGGGGCAGGGGGCTAGGTTTTGAAGTCTCTTGGAAGCCAAGCAGGAAGCTTGGGCTTTATGACCCGGGCAATAGGAAGACTCGGAGGTTTTTGAGCAGCAGAGTGACACCCTGTTCCTTGTGTCTAGGAGAGAGTGATTCATGCATTTAGTCATTGAATGTTTACCGTGCAAGGTAACGGGAATAGAATGGTGAACAAGTAGAGATAGTGCCTTCTCCCAGGAGACTTCCAGTGTAGCAGGAAAGACAAAGCAGACAGACAAATGCAACATAAAATAGGAGACAGTAAGAACTTGGGGATTAAAGAACACAGGGATGGCCTTGGCGGTTTGGCTCAGTGGTTGGAGGGTCGTCCCGAGGACAAGAGAGGCCCGGGTTCGGTTCCCGCTGAGGGCACGTACCTCGGTTGCAGTTTGTCCCTGGACCTGGTTGGGGTTGTGTGGGTGGCAGCCACTTGATGTGTCTCTCTCATGTCGATGTTTCTCTCTCTCTCTCTTCCTCTCTCTCTCCCTTCCACTCTATCTGAAAATAAGTGTAAAAAAAGAACACAGGGATGGGGGCATTCAGTGTCACGAAGGTGATAGACAAGACTTCCTCAGGAAAGTGAGATTTAAATTGAGACCTGAAATATTCTAGCACAGAGGAAATAGCAAACCACCTGCATCCCCACATTTAGAGCTCACCCCTAAAGTTGCATAAATGGGATGTGGATTATTAGTATTGAATGTTTAAAAACATGTACTCTATATAGACACTGCCTGGGTTCTGAGCCCTGCTCTGCCGTTATGAGCCACGTGAACTTGGAGAGGGCCCGGCAGCTCCAGGCTCTTTCCCACACCTTGCCCTGTGCATCTCTTCCTTCTGGGTGTTCCTGAGTCATCAGCCAGTGGTATAGAAAGTAAAACGGTTTTCTGAGTACTGTGAGCTACTCTAGCAGAGTAATCAAATCCAAGGTGGGGGTCACTGGAATCTCCAGTCTATAGCTGTTCATTCAGAAGCACAGGGGATAACCCGGGCTGTGACTGGCACCTCAAGTGGTGGGAAGTGGGGACAGTCTTCTAATACCTGATGTGGCTAATTCGGAGGTTTTGTGGGAAGAAATTGGTGAGCTATGGTAAGCAGCTGAGTAGGTTTAGGATTGAATAACATAAATAATTTCTGGGGGTTCTGGGCTATAGGCGTTGTCCATAGTAGCCAGTACCAGGGCCTGGGGTGATTAGGGTAAAGGAACACAATTGCTTCCTAGAGTGTAAAAGCTACATAAGGGAGGTGGCTCAGAGTTGGGGCTCTGGATTAGTTGCCTTTGAAAGGCAGACCTCCTGGTGAGTCATTTGCTGTTTCTAAGAATTAGCTAGCCCTGGGAGGGGCAGTCTCTCTCTGGTCAGCTAGGCCCCAGATGCCAGAGCATCAAAAATACATGAAATGAGAAAATGTAGTTAACACAGAAGTGGTCAAACAAAGGTTGAGGTAGAGTCATAAAGAAGCAGGCGATGCGGCAGGAGTGACGTGGCTCTTGGTGGAAGGAGGATGAGTAGGCCAGAGTTTATAAAAGCAAAGGTCAGGGGTACTCCATTTTGGGCCAACACTCATTGTCATGTCGTCGAGGATGGAGTATAGGCAAGGTCGACTGTATTAGGAGATCTAGCTTTTTCATATAACCAGAAGTCTGGAAACAGCATAAGGCTGATGTAGCCACTGGAGAAAGCCCCCAAGGGTCCAGGTTCCATATTACTTCCAGTTCCACCAGCATTTCCCTGTGGCTTTGCACAAAGGGGAACAAGACAACAGATCCAAGTCCCAGGCAGGAAGCAAGAGAAGGTGAAATGACAAACAGCACATTTTCACTTTTTATCTGGGAGATGAAAGCTTTCCTACAAGTTCTACCCCATATATTTCTGCTTTACATCTCATTGGCTGAAACTGGGCCACAGGTCTTACCCCAAGAAGTAAGGGTATCTGGGGGAGGTAACTGTGTCTAACATTTACATTGCTGCCCCAAGCAAAACTGGGGCTCTACTGGTAAGGACAAATTCATATGTGAATGGGTTATATTCAGCAGTGACTGCCCCAGGGGGAAAAAGGAAGTATGACCTTGTCTTCTTCAATTAAATGACATCGTATGTGCTCAAAAGAAATAGTGTGCTGCTACTACTACTATTGTTAATGTAGTACTTCACAGTCCTGATTTTTACAGTCCCATTAATTCAACTAATATTTGTTGCACTTCTACAATGTTCGTCTTTAGGTGCCGGGGGTCAAGAAAGAGAATAAAATCTGATTCCTGCCTTTTAAGAACTTTGCATCTGTGTAGATAAATACACGGCGCATTAAATGTAATACAAGCTTCAGCAGCAGCAGTCTTAGAAGTTATTGGAAGTAGAAGGAACTTGAGAGCATGGATACAAATGATTCCTTATTTCACAGGTAAGGAAAGTGGGAGCCACCAGGGAAGTGAAGGGGCTGACCACAGTCACCAGCCTGCTGTGCAGGCCTCCTGATGGCCACGCTGGTGACTTTCTGATTACAATGACCTGTCTGAAGTGACTTGAAAATGCAAAGCTGGAAGGAGAGACCAGGATAATAAGCCCATGCCTTTTGGGGAGGTGGGCGAGGCATCTCACGGAAGCGTAGCCCTTGGCCCAGGAGAAAACCCGACCAGCAGTGGATTAACTGAATCCCAGGACTGAGCTGATGTGTGTGCCAGCATGAAAATGAGGGCCCCTCTGAGTGGCGGGTAGGGGAATTCCTCTGGGTTAAGACTTTTATTCACTCTGTGTTTTTTAATTAGCAATCCTGATTTTTCTAAGGATTGCCTTAAATCAGCAAATGCTTCTTGCATAACTCCTCACCCACGGATCTTCTATCGGACAGCACAGGTCACTAAAATGTGGGAAAAGAATGGAAATTTGGGCCCTGGCCGGTTTGGCTCAGCAGTTAGAGCATCGGCCTACAGTCCAGAGAGAACCGGGTTCAGTTCCCACTAAGGGCAAGTACCTCAGTTGCAGTTTGTGCCCCACCCTGGTCAGGTCGTGCAGGAGGCAGCCAATCAATGTGTCTCTCTCACATTGATGTCTCTCTCTCTATATCCTCCTCCTCCTCCTCCTCCTCCTCTTCCCTCCCACTCTATCTGAAGATAAATGGAAAAAATATCCTCAGGTGAGGATTAAAAAAAATATATTAAATGCAGTCTGTTTATTACAATGATGAATACTTTGTTCTGCTTGGCATAAAGTATAGCTTTAGCTTTTGTGGGATTTGTTGTTATTGTTTTTTTAAATGATGAAGTTAATGAAAATTGCAGACTGGCTGGCAGAAACAAAATAAAGTCACATCTGGAAACAGCTGCACTGGCAATTAAATGGCATTTAATGTGACTAATATCGAAAGGGTGAGTTTTTCTCCCCCAGCATTAGGGATGCAGAATTTAGGCTTCAGAGCTGCTGTATTATAGTAGTTTTGAGTCAGTGAGTGTTTAGAAGTCATTCTGATATTTAGAAAGAAAAACCCCCTGTGAGCCATAGAAGGGGATTTGAGTTAGGAAAAAAAAAAAAAAACAAGGGCTGCACAGTTTGAATTTTAAGAACTGGCATAAATTTTACAGTTTTTCCCCCCTAAGCATTAACTGTTCTATGTTTCAGTTCAATGAAATAAAGCCCTCTTGTTTCCCATACCAATCAAGTGACCTCCTGCCTCGCAGTAATTACTGGTAAACTTCAATATGCAAGCTGAAAGACCACCTAATTAAAAAGTGTAATTAATTTACATAGATCATTCAAAATGGCTAGATTAGATAGCTTATGGAGATAATGTAAAACTCTTTGAGCTGCTTTTATTGGCTTCTTTCCCTGCTGTTCCTCAGGTTCTGAGTATTTTCATGGGAATGAGTTTATCAAAGTGGGAAGGGCTTTGAGGTGATGGTTTTACCTAATCACTGCTAAACATTTAAAGCTTTGCAATTATTTTTTATCAATTACCCAAGTATAAAACAACAAAAAAAACGGCCTTCTCTTCCTGCTTGGTGCTGAGTGGCCTAATGTTATTAGTGAATATTTATTAAGTGCCTGTTGAGTGCTAGATGCCACTCAAAACACACAGTTATTTTAGAGCTTGCCGTGAATTAGCAATGACTCCTCTGGCTAGACAGCACTTTGATTCTTCTGATCACAATGAGATGGTTGCAGGACCCAAAGGAAAGATACTGGCTGAAGGGATTCTCTCTCCCTTTATTCATGATTCACAATGTGAGGTATATTATCTACTCTTCAACATAAACAGTACTGGATTCCAGAGGTTGGCCAAGCCCCTTTGTGACAACCAGGTGGCTGTTCCAACAGTGAGGGAGGAGAATTCTGATCTCTTACCTTCCCTGGTAGAGAAGTGTGGCCCTATGGTGACATCCACTCATATAAATTTCTTTCCCTTTACATCAATTATAAAGGGAGAAGTTTCTCCCCCGTTTGTGTATGGAGGTAATATATGAGAAGATCAATCAAGCTGGGCTTCGGAACAAAGAAGCTTGAAGCAAGGGATTTGTTATTATAGCCTGTCTTTGAGGAGTTCAGAGATTTTGGCAACACCCTGCCAAAGAACAGTTGATAAATCATCACTCTCTTTTAATTTCATCTGCTACTCCGAAGAAGGAAAATGATGATACTCCAGATGGTCTTGAGCTAACACTACAGGGTGGTCCTGAGATTATCTCATAATAAGAGCAAATGCCAATTTTCTTGCCAATATATTTGACAATAAATATCATTGTGACACAAACTTTCTATAAGTTCTTAATATTTTGGAGCTTTGAATCATTTAACAAGAAGTCTTCCCCTCTCTATGAGATAAATGTAGTAATTTTCTTCACATTGGAACCTGAATTCTATAGTTTGACACTTGTATTGGTTAAATCCTTGCGTAGTTACAAAAGTTTTACCTTTTTGTTTTTTGTAAATATAATCCAAGTTCCACTTTACTTTCCAAATCCCTTGGTTCCTCATTACTATGGTTCATGTAATAGCATCAGAATCATGCAACTCAAAACTTTGATATAATCTGTTAGAATATTATCTAAAATAAAGGTTGTCAAACATTGCTGCACATAAAAGTCTCCTCAGGAGTTCACTTTCTCTCTCTCTCTCTCTCTCTCTCTCTCTCTCTCTCACACACACACACACACACACACACACACAGGCAAAAAAAATAAAAATAAAATAAATCCAGGTGCCCAGATTGCATCCCAGACCAATTAAATCAGAATCTCTGGGAGGAAGAATCTAGGTATCAGGATTCTTGTTACATGCTTCTGTGTTTTGAGGTGGTTTCTCATGATGCATTATTGTGACTGTAGCTCACTAATAAACCCACTTTATTCTCTGAATACTCATTGAGCATCTACTATGTCCCAAAGACTTGCTAGGAATTAGGTGAAAACAAAAATGGGCAAAGTCCTTGCCCTACTGTGAGCTTGAGATAAAAAAAAACCAAGTAAACACATAGCTATGTATCATCACTTCAAGTGTCACTTAGAGCTGGGAGACAAATAATTTCATGGCAATGTGAGATAAAGAAACCAAAGTTGTGTTCATACCCATATCTTACTAAGGATAAACTCCAAATAGATTCAAAACTTCAATTTTTAAAATGAAGAAACTATGGGAGACCCAGAAGCCATAGAAAAAAAGATTGATAAATCAGATCACATAATACCATAATCAAAGTCAATGATAAAGATCAAACTGAGAAAACAATATTTGTAACTCATATGTACAAAGTGTTACTTTTATAATGTATATAGATTTCAGAAAATCAATAAGAAAAGACCCACAAACAAATAGAAAAAAGAACAGAAAAAGGAAATATTAGTGGTTCATTTTTTTCTAACTCATCTTTATTGTTGAATGTATTACAGTTGTTTCCCCCCTTTTTCCCCATTGACTCCCTCCTCCCCAATCCCATAACCCTCCTGCCTTCCCCACACTATTGTCAGTGTCCATTGGTTACGCATATATGTATAGAAGTTCTTTGGTTTATCTCATCCCACCCTCCCTTTGAGGTTCATCAGTCTAACAACCAATTTGTACTTCTTAATCCCTTCATCTTTTTCACCCATCCCTCTTGCCCCCGCCCATTTGGCAAGCAACAAAAAGTTCTCTGTATCTATGAGTCTGTTTCTGTTCTGCTTGTTCATTTTGTTTGTAGATTCAATTGTTGATAGATATGTATTATTTGTCATTTTATTTTTCATAATTTTATTCTTCTCCTTCAAGAAGACCCGTCAAGATTTCATATAACACTGTTTTGGTGGTGATGAACTCTATTAGCTTTTTCTTGTCTGGGAAACTCTTGATATGTTCATTCATTCTAAATGTTAGTTTTGCAGGATAGAGTAATCTTGGTTGTAGGTCGTTGCTTTTCATCACCTTGAATATCTTTTGCCATTCCTTTCTGGCCTGCAAAGTTTCTTTTGAGAAATCAGCTGACAGTTTTATGGGAGTTCCTTTGAAGGTAATGAACTGCTTTTCTCTTGCTGCTTGTAAGATTCTCTCTTTTTCTTTAACCTTTGGCATTTTGATGATGATGTGTCTTGGTGTGGACCTCTTTGGGTTCATTCATCTTGTTCGGGACTCTCTGTGCTTCCTGGACTTGTATGTCTGTTTACTTCACCAAGTTAGAGAAGTTTTCTGTCATTTTTTCAAATAGGTTTTCAATTTCTTGCTCTCTCTCTTCTCCTTCTGGCACCCCTATGATGCAAATGTTGGCACGCTGGAAGTTGTTTCAGAGGCTTTTTACACTATCCTCACTTTTTGGATTCTTTCTTCTTTTTGCTGTTCTGATTGGGTGTTTTTTGCTTCCTTATATTCCAAATCAGTGATTTGCTTCTTGGCTTTACCTACTCTACCATTGATTCCCTGTAAATTATTCTTTATTTCAGTTAGTGCATCCTTCATTTCTGATCAGTCCTTTTTTATGTTGATGTTCTCACTAAGTTTCTTGGTGGTCTCCTTAAGTTCTTTGAAAGTCTCACTAAGTTCCTTGAATTTCTCACCGAGTTCCTTGAGCAACCTTATAATCAGTGTTTTGAACTCTGCATCTGATTGATTGCTTATCTCCATTTTGTTTGGTTCTTTTCCTGGAGTTTTGTTATTTTCTTTCGTTTGGGCCATGTTTCTTTGTCTCCTCATTTTGGCTTCTTTCAATAGGGTTGCTGCTTTAATTTCATACTTGTAGGACTTTCATTAAGCTCGATTTCAGGCGGTTCTGAATGATGTTTGTGCTGTAGCTCTTAGTTGTCTAGTGGTTCTTAAACATAAGAAAAATTCCTCAATCCACCTGTAATAGTAGAAATGCATACTAAACCTACACTGAGATCCAGGAGTTTTATAACACACAGCATCTGGGA